CACCTCTCTGGCGGGACACGAGCTCGAGGAACAGCTGGTCCTCCTCGACCAACTCCTCCTCCTCATGTCCAACGTCACCAAGCCATGCAGGAAGCTCGTTCGACAAGGCGGGAAGCTGTGTCGAGGGAAGCTGGATGGTGACAAGTATGTTTGTAAATAATGTTTGATGGAAAAGATGGTGTTTGGTGGAAAAGATGGTAAAAACTTTTTTTTTCTCGTATATTATTGTCAGATGTCCTATTCTATATTTGCGTTTTATCTACGAGTTTTGATGTGTAGGAAAATGAGTTTTATTTACTGCAGGAAACTGTGTTTGGATCCGATCGTTCGCCCAACGCCCAATAACTGTCTGGTGTATTCGTTTGGCATCGGCTATGACTTTAGCTTCGATGCTGCTATGGGCAAATATGGCTGCCAAGTGTTTTCCTTCGACGATGACAGCGCACATGAGCTCTTAGACAGGAATCCTTATCCTAGGTAAGAATATTTCAAAGAAAGGAGCCAAGATAGGATTTCAGTTTTCGCAAAGTGGTATGTGATACCGAAATAACGAAACAGTATTTGATCTCGAAAACGCTTTTTAAAAGGATTATAGCCATTCCCCAGGTTACACACATATAGATTTATATGTATACATCTCACTACCTCCACAGAGTGAAATTCCTTCGACTTCGCCTCGCAACTGGCAGGGGCGTGAAGGTAGAGCGAAGTTATAACCCAAAGACGAAGAGCGAATACATCTACTTGTACCGTCCGCTCGATAACATCATGTACCTTCTCGGTCACCATGAAGCCAACGTCGATGTTCTGAAGATCGACGTCGACGGCCCTGAGTGGGAGATCTTCGAGGATTCGATATTCAAGGTAAGGCGTCTTTTCCAGTGGTTACGGCGTTGCAACAGGATTCGAGTAGATTTTAAACATATATCGAGTTGCTAGATGCATTTTTCCTAACTTGGTTATTTTCATGCATTTACTTATATTCGATATCAGTAACACAGCAACACCGAACATAATATCCAAAGCCACGTTGGATATCACATTCCAAAGTACTGTGTACCAGTCGAAAAATAACAAGTAGAATAAAATAGCCGTTAACCGCGGTCATTCCCATGATGTTACTGAAGTGGGCGGAGCCTAGCAGCCTGTCTCGCCTCTGATCACGAAATAGCATTTGGGTGTCGGCCGCGGAGCAGACCTAATTACCACAAGAAAAGATGGCAGTAGTTTCTCTTACGGTGCGGTGACTATGGTTAGTGGGCTATTACTCGAAGGCAAATTATCGAGTACTTGCTCTTTAGGTGTTTAAGGTTCACGATCCTGAGTATCTTGTCATGTTTTCTCATCATGCACATTGTACTCCCCATCCTAAGAATGCTCATGTTTCAGTCTGAAGGCTTATTTGTAAACAACAGAAATGATACCCGCTAATCCTCAGTAGCCGCGTATATAGGCTGGCTTCTAAAATATTAGATTGTTATTTTAATGATATCACATCTACACAGTATTACTTGATTGCATTTGAGAAATAACGAATATCAGGATTAAGGGAAATAAAGTTTAGAGCTGACTTTCCTAGTTCTTCAAATTTAGTGTTGCAATCCTTTGGGGTCTCTGACACGAGGGAAAATCATTTTGCGCTTTCTACTTCCGACTCGTCTGCACACTCAACAAATTTGCACACATTATGGTAAATAATAACACTGATGCTAACTGAGATCGACACATTTCAGGGACAGGCAAAGACGCGATAGGGTTTGAGCTTTTGAAGAGAAGGGGGGGGGGGTGAGGTGGTGCAGGAATCCGGACTGTGTGACACTTGACCTTGAACCCAGACTTTTTTTGGGTCGAGGGTTTGCCATAAAAGAAGTTAGATTTCCACATTTCTCGGGTAGGCGAATGCAGGGATTTTTCATTCATCTTTACTAAATAAACACATTTTTAAAACGTATAACATTTATATAGTGGGTAAAGATTCAGCATTATATCATATCATTCCCAAACAAAAACAAATTATAATAGTATTCGCTTCCCCCAGACCGACATTCTTGAACGCACAAGACAACTTTCCATCGAGATCCACCTGAGTGTGTTCCTGAATCCGAATTTAGACACCGGTCATCCTCTCACCCGGACACTTCACAAGTACACGAGGTAAATTCTCTTTGTTCTCAGTCAATATTTTCATTGTATACAAATGTGTAGAATTATTTAATACACATAAACGGTAATGCTTGGAGAGATAAAGTATAAATTAAATTAAATAAGCTTTGTCGTTGGGAGGTCACGCTGATAATAAATCGATTTTTTTTTCTTAGTCATTATTTTCATTGTATACAAATATGTAGAATTATTTAATACACATAAACGGTAATGCTTGGAGAAATAAAGTTTACATTAAACTAAATAAGCTTTGTCGTTGGGTAGTCACGCTGATAATAAATCGACATATTATATCATTGTATACAAATATGTAGAATTATTTCATACACATATGTTTAGAGAAATAAAATTTACATTAAACTAAATAAGCTTTGTCGTTGATAACAAATCGACATATTCTATAATTTTAATAAGTAGTTATAATGTGATGTGCGTTCGGAACTGCTCGGAACTTCCACTATCTCGTCCCGGACCGAGCAGGACGAGATGACGTCACAATAGATTTTGTATGTAAACATTGACAGTTGCAGGTAACCACAAGATATTGGTGGGTAATATTATGACCCTTTATTGGTGTTATCAATGGATATTTTTGTTTGTCAGTTGCATGTGAGTTAAATATGCATCAAAGGAGTTACAAAACATATGCAGCGTGTAAAATAAAGACACCGGTATGATAAAAAAGTGAATGTTTACTTTCGAGCCGGTTGCGTTTTGGGCAGTAAGGGTCTTGGAGGTTCCGAACGCGGCGCATCTCGTCCTGCTAGTCCTGGTCAAGATGTCTGGACGAACAAGACGAGCATTTCCGAACGCAGCATTACAAGTATCAGTTAGAATGACAATCATCAACTAGAAGGGATTCGTGACCCAGTATGTCTGACATTCCCCAATAATGAAGTGACGAAATGACCCATGTTAACATTAATAAAACGGCAGGCTGTTTAATTTTAACCTTGCTCGGGTACATTCTCAGTTCACCCTCCCTCCTAAAGTTACTTCCTTAAAAAAAGAATAAATAATAATGATGAATAAATAAATAGATAAAAATAAAGAAAAAAAAGTTAATCATGGCTATTTTCATTATCAATAATAATTAATTAAAATCATATCGGCAGGGTGTTCAGAGGTTTAGAAGATCGAGGGTTCCGCCTGACGCACCACGAACCTAATCTTTTTTATCCGAAGTTTGTTGTGTTCGCCAACAGGACTTTTAACACATTTTATGAAATGTTGTTTGTAAATACTCATCTGAAAAAGATGAATAAGAGTGAACATGTGGAAATAAATAACATCATCTTTCAGGAATTAGAGTTTGAATAGAATATGTGAAGTTTAAAGTAAATAAAGGTTTATACGTGTTTTAATGTTATTCCTTTAACATAAATAAATTCATATGATAAATACATATAATTCTGATATATATAGTAGATGTATAAGCAACACATAAATACACGCATATTTGTGTGTACGTATACATGAAATATATATAATATATATATATATATATATATTATATATATATATATATATTATATGTCATATATATATATATTATATAAATTATACATATAATATATGATATATATATATGTATATATATATGTATATAATATAATATATAATATTGTAGATATATATATAATATAATATTATATATATATACTATATATATATAATAGAGAGAGAGAGAGGAGAGAGAGAGAGAGAAGAGAGAGAGAGAGAGAGACTAAGAGAGAGAGAGAGAAAGAGAAGAGAGAGAGAGAGAAGAGAGAGAGAGAGAGAGAGAGAGAGACTAAGAGGGAAGAGAGTGAAAGAAAAAGAAACAGAAAACTCGAAAAAGACCCCAAAACTAGCAAATTCCTCGCTTGGCAACACAAAATGAGATCGAATTCCTTCGAATCTCGCCTTCTACCTAGATGGACACCCTGGTAGAAATGAGCGACGAGTATTTTCTTTTCTAGAGAACTCACAGCACTCGATTCCTTACGATTGTCGTCGTGCTGCAAATCGGTAATATTGGATTAAAAACTGGATTGGATTAAAAAAAATGGACAAGGAAACTGAATAAGGAAAGACCGAATGCGAAGGAAGGAGACAGAAAGAGAAGGAAAATTAGTGATTAATGTGCTTCTAATGGCTGGTTTTTCGTCTTGTATCGCGTCAGTTTCCTGAACGCACTCCAGATGGCGCCCACCTCGCTCTCTAGGCGTTTAAGGTTCACGGTTCTGAGTGTCTTGTGTTCTGTACTTGTCTTGTGCGCCAAACCACGGCCGCGCTTATAAGAGGTCAGTATTAAGAATTAGGTAAGATTTTGCCTATTTTTTATTTTTTTATTTTTATTTTATTTTTTATTTTTATTTTATATTATTTTTTATTATTTTTTTATGTTTTTACTTTTGTCTCGTAATGATAGACAGGCCCTTATGCACACTCGTACACACACACACGCTACCATACAAATACAGTATCACAAAAGCACACATACACAGAAGTAAGCTATTGTAAAATGGTGTATACACAGGTGAACACAAATGAATCTTACATTAAAAAACATACGATGCGATTCGAAATTAACGAGAATATAGATCGCTAAGACGTGCCAGAAATATATTGAAGAGTATTCACACACTGGCCGGTCGGAGTGTATAATTTTTTTATTAACCTGGAGATTAACAAAAAAGTTTCAACAGCGTTCCAATAATGTACAGTAGGCCTACGTATAAAGAGCAAACATATTTGAAGATATATCTGTGTTTTGGCTTCGGAGATGCTACAAAAATGGCCTTACATATGATTTGTATGTACGCATGCATACATACATACATACATGTATATGG